CATATCCGTACTTTGGGAGAAAATACGGTTTTGTGGCTAACAGATGGGCTCATGACGCTAAGATCTGGGTTTGAATCCAGATTCCACTGCTTACTCACCCGCTGCGCTCACTCGGTGATGAGACTTAAGGAACAGTCCCCAGGCTAGGAGAGTGAGAGACCTCATACCTACCTGAGAGCTAAGCTAGGCAAAGACCCTGCTGCTTGTACCAGTCCCAGCCAGCCAAGTGGTGTCTTCCACATTCTGACTTGTGGATTTAGACCTTTTAACTGATTTGTTCCCTCCTCAAAAACCCTGAAGGAAAATAAGCCCTCAGAAAGGTCATCCGTTATTTGGAAATGTATCCAGAGGGAAGGGAAACTGTTTTTAGGTTAACTTTAGGCAACGGTTGTCTTCCTTACTACTGAAATGTGCTTTTATATCCCAGTGTAGCTCATAGTCCAGTCCTTCTAGAATCGGTAGTTACTTAATTGAACAAAAGCAGAAAACAAATTTTTGTCAGGAATTAAATCATACTTCCTACTCACCCTTAAGACCACTTCTGGTGGGCCAGACCCAGACTGCAGTGGTTTACTGCTGCAGAGAGGAAATCGGATCCCACATGCCCAACCAGAGTTCAAATCCCAGCTCTGGAAAACACATCAGGCTAGTGTGTATGTGCCAGGATACTGACAGGATGAAGAACTGGAAGGAAAATGATAGCAGAGTGGCCAGGCCCTGTTAGGAGTGGGGTGGGGTTGCCCTCTCTCTCTCTCATGGGTATGCACATATCCTTTGGTATTAAAAAAACAAAACAAAACAACAACAACAACAAAACAAAACAGGGTGGGGGGACCAGCAGATAGCCTAATGGCTACGTTGAGTCCCGGACCCGGCAAATGTGCGTGCGTGCCCAAGATCCCGAGAGGAGAATGGAAGGGAAGGGATTGCAGCGTGGCCATCCCCCCAGGGGGTGATTTCTCACTTTTTATCTCTCTGTCTCTGTCTTTCTGGCGAGTGCACACACCTTATAGCTAAAATTTCTCCCAAAGAAAAAGACCACTGATGGTTCCCTTATATATCCACTAACCTCTTACTATTCATAAGAAAAGATCTGGGACCACCAGTTAGCATAATGGCTATGTTGCTGGATTCCCATGTAGTCAACCACAATTCGTGTCTCGGACCCAGTGGCTTAAAACTCACGCAGGGCGTGTGTGCATGCGTGCCCAAGATCCCAAGAGGAGAATGGAGGAGAAGGGATTGCAGCATGGCTAACCCCCTGGGAGTTATTTCTTGCCTTCTGTCTCTCTGTCTCTGTCTGCCTGGTGAGCGCACGCGCCCTATGGCAAAAACCTCTCAAAAAAAAAAAAAAAAAAGCATATAAAAGAAAAGGCCTGGAACTTTCCTCTTCTAATGAAATTTGAATCCATTTAGTTCTTCTGATAGGCTCCCTAGTGATTAATTTTCATTGCCATTCTGGAAACACATCTATTTGTACATGAAAGCTATTGAACTTCATAAAACACTTTAAATTTACTGAAGCAAAAAGAATCATTAGTAACAGATGCCACTCTCCAGAGCCAGGAAATGAAATAGTCATCAGAGGTATAGAAAAGATAATAAGTAGGGCCAGTAGATGGCGTGATGGTTAAGGCACTGGACTCCCATATGGCTAATCATGGTTTGAATCCCAGACTGGCAACTTGCCAGACAGAGAGAGACAGAGAGACAGAAATTGAGAAATCGCCCCCTGGGGGGATGTCCACGCTGCAATCCCTTTTCCGCCATTCTCCTCTCAGGATCTTGGGCACGCACGCACACGTGCCCGGTGTGAGTTTAAGCCACCGGGTCCGGGATGTGAACCACGGTCGACTACGTGGGAGTCCAGCAACATAGCCATTACACTAACTGCTGGTCCCTTTTGCGTCGCTCTATCTTTTATCTGCTCTGTATCTTTTATGCTGCTTTAAATAATTTGGGTACACCTGGTCACCAGAGATCCTGCTGCATCTTCCTGTCCTCCAGGATACGTGGGAATTTTTTGAATCCAAAGGAATACACAAGCTCATTAGACTCTAAACTGTCAGATGTAGAACAGTTGTTCCAATTTTTTCCTGCCCCTATCCAAAGGAACAACTATCTCCCTCAGCTATATATCCCACTGCACATGGCAAGCTCGGGCTGTCAGAAGTCATGATGCATTTCTGCATAAGAAAAAAAAAACAGAAAAACAAGGCATGACTTTTTCCAGGACCCAATGTATATCCCATTAGCCTTAGGCAATTCTCCCAAAGGGTATATTATTGCATCCACCCCAAAAGGTGGGATAAAGAAGGGAGGAGGGGGCTGGCAGATGGTGTGGTGGTTAAGGGCACTGGATTTCCACTGCAGTTTGAGTCCCAGACCTGGCAACTTGCTTTCTCACTCCCAGACCCCCGCCTCACTCTCTCTGTCCCTCTCTGGTCAAATATACATTCTCTCTCTCTCTCTCTCTCTCTATATATATATATATATATAGATATACGTACACACACATATATATATATATACATACATACACACACACCACAGACATACACACACACACACACACACACACACACACATACATATAAAATTAAATAAAATTCTTTTAAATAAGTGGGTGAGGAGAGGACCAGGTACAGTATAAAAATCACTACCTCCAGGGATCCTGATCCAGCTCCTGGCCAATACCTGGGCCCATCCACCAGATTCTTCCATAACCCTCCCCTTGTTTTAAATTTAAATTTAAAAAAGAATTAAGCAGAAGGAGCAAATGGAACAGACCAGCATGCTGACTGACTGATGGCCACATACGCCATTCTGACAAACCACAGCTACCTTTCTCAAACTCAGTTGTATGGTGTAGACCTTTATAAAGTTCCCGAATGTGTGCAGGCCTGTTCTGTGATGTCCCAGTCGAAAAGATTCGAAGTGACTATTAGAAAATCCAGCTGTAATTCTCCTTTACTTTGCCAGAGGGTGTGTGTGCTCAATGGAGAGACAGAACAAGAGAACAAAAGGTAAGAAAGCACTCCCCGTGGGGCATGGACACTGCAATTCCTTCTCTTCCACTTCTACCTCTTTTTGGGATTTTGGGCGCATACATATACACCAGCGAGGTTTCAAGTCACCTGATCCAGGAACCAAACTGCTGTCAGCCATGAGGGCACCAGCGGCCTTCACTGCCAGCCTCTAGGCTAGCCTTCTCTTTTAAATAACTTCTTGAAAGTTGTCTTTTTGGGGCCAATGGGTGGCATAGTGGTTACATTGCTGGACTCTCACATGGCCAAGCATGGTTCGAGTCCCAGACCTGGTGGCTTGAAACTCACACCAGGCATGGGTGCGCACATGGCCAAGATTGTTGGCCTTTCTCATCCCTGGAGCACAAGTGCCCTAAAGCAAAAAGACCTCTTAAAAACAAAAAAAGAAGGTGTCTTTTTATTCTAAAACTGAACTACTTTATTTCTGTAATCTATTATCTTCATACTTCATAGATAAAACCAGCTCTGGGTTCAGCTCATCTGACCTCCATTCATTTACACGAGAGTTCTCCAAGGTTACAACCAGGTTGAGAAATGGCTCCACAGTGAGGAGGAAAAACACATCACCATGTTGTACTGAAAAAGGAGAGATCCCTGCCGCCCAGACACCAGCAGCAAGGCCCTTATGCTCGTCCTCTTAAACACGTCTTTGAGGCTGGCCAGGGCTGCTTCCTAATCTCACTTCATATCTTTGGGGACCTAGGTTTTCGATAAATGATGCCACTGTACTCATAAACCCTAACTAAAAGAGCAAGGAGGGCCAGGAGTGGCTTGCTGGTTAAGGCTCTGGACACTCCCACAGGGCCAACTGTGGTTCAAGTCCTGGACCTGGTGGCTTGTTTTCTCACTTTCCCTCCCTCCCTCCCTCTCTCTCTCTCTCTCTCTGGTCAAATTAAAACAAATTAATTTAAAAAAATAAATAAAAATTAAAAAACACCGTGCACGTGTGTATATGTGTGTGCGTGCGCCTAAAACCCTGTGTGTGCGTGTGTGTGTGTGTGCGCCTAAAATCCTAAAAGGAGGGAGAAATGGAAAAGAAGAGATTGTGGCATGAGCATCCCTCATGAGGGGTGTTTTTCACTTTCTTCTCTGTGGTGAGTACGTGTGCCCTAAAATGGGGGGGAAAAAAAAGAGAGCGAGAGAGAGGAGATTAAAACAAATGAAAAACTTTAGAAGCCAGCCCACTATGGAGGCTGAGACCTGAACTAACACGACAGTGGCGTGTCAGATCCAGGCCAAGTTGTCGCTGGAACTGACTGAGTACCAAACTCACTGGGGACTGATGAGCACAGTGACGGCTCACTAGACGCTGCACTCCATCCTCTCCGGAGACTCCTATATGCGTATGTGCTATTGGAGGACTTTGTTTTTTTTTTAAGTTACAAAAAACGATTCTGAGCTTTAAAATGGAGAGGGAGTTGTTTGTCATGTAGGAAATCCTAGTAAAGGGAATTGAAAGGAACTTGCACATTAGTTCACTTGGCTGCAGAAAAGCTTGAACCACTCTCACTCCCTGAAATAGCAGATCTACTTGCAGAGTAGGGACTGGACTGTGCTTCCTAGTTCACCAACCTTCTCAGACAATTGTGCGTAAACAATGAAAATCATTTGGAGCTTTTATCCTCCTACTGTTAGGCCGAGTTAGCATAATCACCATCAAGTTAGGCCTTCAAGGACGGAGCCCGCCATGTTAGGGCTTCAAGGACGGAGCCCGCCATGTTAGGCCTTCAAGGACGGAGCCTGAGGAGTCTGGGAACTCATAGATAAACAAACTGAGTACGGGTGGGCCTAGCGGTGCCAGGACAAGGTCAACCTAACCTTAACTGAGAGTCCTTATCTAGACTTTAGCAGGTGGCGACAGCTGGACCCTCACTTCACATCCCCCCTCCCTTGTGTGCTGCATACTATGGAAAATTACTGACTGTATATCCTGTATTGCAATCCTGAGCTATAAAAGATCCCTTTTTCCTAGGTTCGGGGTCCTTGCTGAAAACCCGCTGTGTCGGGCAGAAACTCAGACCCCAGCCAGCTGGAAAATAAAAGCCTCTTATGCAATTGCATTGTTGTCATCTTTTCTGCATCACCAATGGTTAGACCGATCTCAGGACCCTAACATTTGGGGGATTGTCTGGGATAGATCAACTTGGTGACAGCCAGATTAGACACAACAGAGAAGGCTTGGCACTTTGTCACGAAAGGAGGATTGATCACCTCCGTCTGGGGCTTGCAGGGGGCCTTAGAGCCTGTTCTCAGACTTGTCTTGCTCTGGAAAGGAGAGTTGGCTGCCTCCGTTTGGGACTTGGAGGGGGCCTTAGAGCCTGTTCCTGAACTTACCTGGTTCTGGCAGAGAATTCTCCGTGGAGGAACCAGCTTAGCCACCCTGGAGGCTCCACTTGAAGTTGAGGGAGACGTCTCCGATAACCAGGAGCTCAACGAGCATCTGCATTGGACACCGTTTGGTCTGGCATTTGGTAAGGATCCCATACAGGCTGGTGTGAGTCCTGTGCGTGTGGTGGAATTGACCAGCCGGTGCGTGTGGTCATCACCTGTGCATATTTGTTGGTTCGCTGGAGTGATTGTGATTCTGTGTCTTTTTCTGTTGTGGTCTCTGTGTCTCCTTTTTCTTGTCATGGGCCAAACCCAAGTAACTCCTAAGAGTTTAATCTTAGATCATTTCTCATAAATCCGGGAGAAAGCCCACAATTACGGGCTTAAGGTTAAGGAAAAGTAAGTTTGATACCTTTTGTTCTTCAGAATGGCCAACCTTTGATGTGGGCTCGCTGCCACAGGGGACCTTTTCGCTAAAAGTCATCAAGCGAGTCTGAGATATTATCAACCAGCCCGGCCTTCAGGTCACCCAGATCAGTATCCGTATATTATAATGTGGCAGGCCCTGGTAGAAAACCCTACTAGAGGAAATTATACCCCAGTATGGAGTTCCTGAGACACTCAGCTCGCATAATGGCCCGGCTTTCATTAGTAGAGCCCTACAGGGACTAGCCCAGGCTGTGGGAACTGATTGGAAATTACATTGTGAATATAACCCTCAGAGTTCTGGGCAAGTAGAAAGAATGAATTGAACTCTGAAGGAGACTTTGTCTAAATTAGCCCTTGACACTCGCAGAGACCGGGTGACCCTCCTGCCTTTTGCCTTGTTCCGGGTTCGTAACTCTCGTTATGTCCATGGAGTGACCCCATTTGAAATCCTTACGGGGCACCACCCCCTATATGCACTCATACCCTTCCAACGTTGACACCTGAAGGGACTGCAGATTATAGACCTAGCCTTAAAGCCCTTCAGCAGGCACAAGAAACACTCTGGCCTTTAGTCTAAGCACTCCAAGAAGCTAAGGACTCCACACACCTGGAACATGGTATAGTCCCGGGAGACTGGGTATGGGTAAAAAGACACAGAACACGCACCTTGGAACTAAGGTGGAAAGGACCTTATATGACTCTTTGGGTTACTCCCACTGCTTTAAAGGTCGACAGAATTGGGCCGTGGATTCACCATTCACACGTGCGTCTGATCTCATCGCCTAAATACGTGCAAGCTGAAAAGGAGTGGACTGAGCGTCAACACCTGCACAATCCCCTGAAACTCCAGTTATCCAGATCTTCGGACCAGCCCGTGTTCCCTTCTCAACAGAACAACAGTGGAGATGCTAGCCTTAATTCTGTTCATTAATTGGAGCACCGCAACGAGTCTACTCCAGCCCTGCAAACAGACATGGGTGCTCACGGATGGAGAGACTGGTAACGTTTTAAATTACACCTCTCGCACCGGCCCACTGGGTACCTGGTGGCCGGACCTTTATTTTGACTTAAGAGACCTTTTTGAAAAAACTCGTACTAAAAAGCCTTCATATCATATCTTAATGAAAAGGGCATTGACATTTGAAGACCAGATCAAAGGGTTCTGGGCCTGTCCAGGTAACCAGAGGGCCAATTACCGTACTTGTGGGGGAGCCGAAAGCTTCTACTGTAAAGCCTGGTCTTGCGTCACCTCCAATGACGGTTCCCGTAAGTGGCACACAGGCCGCAACTCTGACCTTGTACAGTTCTCTTTCCGAGACTTAGGAAATAGAGTTCCCTCAATTAAAACCTGCTTTACAAATAACGGCAAAAGCCAGTCGTTACTGAAATGGCAAAATCCTGGCTTTACTTGGGGATTCCAATATTATTCAGGCGGTGCTATCTGGATGGGGCCATATCCAGGCGGCCTCCTGACAATTAGACTGTCTATAGAACCCCTGGCACAGCCCGTAGGCCCAAATAAAGTTCTACACGTACCCCACCCTTAAGGCCAATAATCCAACCAAAGCGAATGGTGACCCGGTCACCTCCTTGACAATCCCTAACGCACCCTCCCATGCCTATTCCCTACCACAGGATCCCCGACCTCGATACTTAGCCCTCTCCTTATCCATGTTCAAGCTGCCCTTCTGGCCCTCAATCAGTCTAGCCCCAGTATTACCTTCCCATGCTGGCTATGTTATGTCCGTCCTCCTTTCTATGAAGGTGTAGGGCTTGATGCCTCCTATAATCTTTTTGTATCTGACACTCCTCCCACTTGCCAGTGGACAGACCGTAAAGTGGGCCTAACTATACAGCAAGTAAGCAGCCGAGGACTTTGCCTGGGAACTGTCCCTTCTTGTGAAAAACATCTATGTACAACTATTCTCAGCAATTTCTCCTCAGATGCAAATAATAAATGGGTACTGCCCCCATAGGCGGTTGGTGGATTTGTTCAAAAACTGGGCTTACCCCATGTCTTTCCCTCTTAGTCTTTGATGCGGCCCAGGAACATAGTGTCTTAATTTTAGTTCTTCCACGAATCATATATCACCCTGAGGAGGTCATGTTCCTACATTGGAATTCGTTTGAGCCACTTTGCACCAAGAGAGAGCCCTTTACCACTTTGACTACAGCCACCTTGTTTAGCTGGGGATTAGCAGGGGCAGGAACGGGCTTAGCCTCCCTTACCACCCAAGATGCAGGGCTTCAGTCTTTCCAACTAACAACTGAGGAAGACCTAGCAAGAATTGAGGCTGTTATTAGCCGTTTAGAAAAATCTCTGACCTCTCTCTCTGAAGTTGAACTACAGAATAGAAGGGGATTAGACCTCCTTTTCCTACAACAGGGAGGCCTCTGTGTAGCTCTAGGTAAAAAATGATGTTTTTATGCTGACCACTCTGGAGTAGTCCGAGACTCTGTCTAAAGTCAGAGAAGGTCTAACAAAGAGAGTGAGAGGCTAACGAAAGCTGGTTTGAAGTTTGTTTTAACAAATCCCCTTGGATGACAACCCTCATCTCCACCCCGTTAGGCCCCCTACTTATCTTACTTCAACTCACCTTTGGCCCATGCATCATAGACTGGTACAATTTATAAGAGACCATCTCAGCATTGTGCAAGCTATGGTTCTGACACAAAGTTGTGCCCAACGTACCAGTAACAAAAGTACTATTCTGTACATTTTTAACAGATGCTTCTCTGCTTCTGTAAATCGCTTGGCAATAGCAATGAGCGTGATTCCTCATTATGTACAACTCAAAGGGGGAATGTGAGGGCGAGTTAGCATAATTACCGCCATGTTAGGCCTTCAAGGACGGAGCCTGAGGAGTCTGGGAACTCATAGATAAACAGAGTACGGGTGGGCCTAGCAGCGCCAGGACAAGGTCAACCTAACCTTAACTGAGAGTCCTTATCTAGACTTTAGCAGGTGGTGACAGCTGGACCCTCACTTCACATACCTCCTCCCTTGTGTGCTGCATACTATGGAAAATTACTGACTGTATATCCTGTATTGCAATCCTGAGCTATAAAAGATCCCTTTTTCCTAGGTTTGAGGTCCTTGCTGAAAACCCGCTGCGTTGGGCAGAAACTCAGACCCCAGCTAGCTGGAAAATAAAAGCCTCTTATGTAATTGCATTGTTTTTGTCTTTTCTGTATCGCCAATGGTTAGATCGATCTCAGGACCCTAACACTACAAATTCTATGGGGACAATTATCTTTGTTTACCACACTGTGCTTAAAAAACAGACTATAAAATCATTTGACAGAAAAACTGAAAAATGCTTGCCTTTTAGGAGGCTGAATGAAATTAAAATTTTCTTTATGACTTTAAATTTCAAAGTTATAGGAACTGTTTAATGAGTAAACAAGCATTTAAAAATAATTATTTTACGTATTATTACTATCAATTTTAATTTGTCAAACGGCATAAGCACTTATGAGAGAGAGACAAAGAGAAGGGGAAAGTGAGAAAGCAAGCCACCTGGTCTAAAAACCAAGCTGCGGTCAGCCATGTGGGAGTCTAGAGCCTTAACCACCAAGGCCACTTGCTGGCACCCAACAAATTTTTAACTATAAAATAGAGACAATTCAATCTTTTTCTTTTTGCTACAGGGCACATGCACTTGCTGAAGAGACAGAAACAGAAAGCGAGAAATCAGGGGGGATGGCTACACCGCAATCCCTTCTCCTCCATTCTCCTCTTGGGATCTTGGGCACGCTCGCACACGCACACGCCCAGCGTGAATTTAAGCCGCCAGGTCCGGGACTCGAACTGTGGTCGACTACATGGGAGTCCAGCGACACAGCTATTATGCCAACTGCTTGTCCCAAGACAATTCAATCTTAAGACTCAAACAGAACATCAAAAACATTTAACGGGAAAAAAACTCAGTGTTTCATAGAATGAATATGCTCAGTCTTTTCTATAATTAAAGCTAGTTGATCTCATTTTTCATTAATATTTGTTAAAATTTACATGGCAGCTTTTAGACGTAATCTGTTCAGGACCAGAATTAACTCTAACACCAAAAAATTGGAATTAGGGCCACCTGGGGTACAAGGTGGCTGAATCGCATATGACTGACTGCATGGTTCAAATCCCGGTCCCAGAAGCTTGAAAAACATGCTGGGTGCTGTGTGTGAGTGTCCAAAGTTCTTAGAGGAAATGGAGAAGGAATTGTGTGGCCATCTCCCTCGGGGGCGGTGCTTTCTCACTTTCCTCCTCTCTTTTTCTCTCTAGCAAGTACATGTATAGGAATTAAACTAAATTGTGGCATCAGCAGACGGCATAATGGTTATGCCACTGGACTCCCACGTCAACTGTGGTTTAGGTCCCAGACCCAGAAGCTTAAAACTCATGCTGGGCATGTGCATGTGAGCCCCAAATCCCAAGAGAATGGAGAAGGGACTGCAGTGTGGCCATACCCCTGGGGAGTGATTTCTCACTTTTTGTCTCTCTGTCTGGCAAGTGCATGTGCCCTACATAAAAAATCTGTTAAAAAATTGTGAACGGCTATTTTTTGAAAAAAAAAGACAATATACACATAAGATGAGATTACATACTTTAATGTGATTGACATAAAAGAAGTAGAGAGGACATAAAGAAATTTAGCTTTCGCTCTGCTTTATGCATAACCAGATGCTCCTTTTCTAAAAAGTACACTGAAGTTTTAAAACCAGTATCTTACTGAATACCTCAGGAAACCATATTTTGTATAATTCAGGAAATACTCTATTTGCAGAACAAGAAAATCATATGGGCAACAAAAGACTAAAACAAAAGAAAGCACCGGGGTTCTGAGCAGTGAAGGTGACTACCTCTGCAGAGAGTGGAAGCTCCGACTGGATGGACATGGAAACATGCAGATGAGGATTGGTCCAGGTCTTACCATTTTTTAAAACATGTTTCTTTGGAAAAATGGCAACATTGGCTGAGAGTGAAGCTGTTGTTTTAGACACCCAGTTTATTGGCCTGGGTGAGAACAACTTTGAGAACAGGCATGAAAGCTGAGGTCTCGCTGAAGTTGCTGGTGCTCACGATGTGGGTGTGGATGGTTAATCCTTCTGAGTAGTTGCGCGTCTCGATGCTTCGTGCGATGTTGTGTAAACCATTGGTGATCGTTGGTGAAAGCTGAAATAAAGGTGAAACCAGGAGAAAAAAATAAATTAAGAGAAAATGTCCCATGAGACGCTATAAACATTAAACCCAGGTATTAAAATGGTACTTGAATTCACATTAAAAAAAAAGTGTTAACCATTTGGCATTTCTAGAGCTAGTTTCCTGGATCAAGCAACAGTTGAGTTATAAAGTAGACCCCATGACAAAAGGTTTCTGTAAAGAAATTATTTATGATTGTAAGGCAGGTACATTCTTAGAGAACATTCCTTCCCCAAGTTGAAATGCTAACATCTCTCTCCACTTGATTTAATTCTTCTATTATTTTTGCCATAGGGTGGGCGCCACCACGCCCTATTCTTCTATTATTTTTGAAAGAGACGCAGATGTTTAAAAATTTTTTCCTATACACCTGAGGGTGACCAAAGTTTTGTTTTTAAAAGAATTATTTTATTTAATTCTATTTATTTTAATTTGACCAGAGAGGGAAAGAGTATGAGAGAGAAAGTGAGAAAGAGAGAGACAAAGTAAGAAAACAAGCTGCCAAGAGTCTGGAACTCAAACTGAGGTCGGCCATGTGGGAGTCTAGCACCCTTAACCACCATGCCACCTGCCAGCCCTGACCAAAGATCTTAATTATGGCATCTCATGAATGATTTAAAACCTTATCTACAACAGAGACCCTTGAGCTTTTAATCTCCTTCCATTAGCATGCAGACAGGCCACCATGTACATAATTTATCAAATCTCACCTGCTTTTTATAATTCTGCCATCTCTTTTTTACAAAAGATCTATTTATTTAACTTTAATTAATTAATTAAACCAGAGAGACACACGCAGACAGACACAGAGAGAGGACAAGTGAGAAAGTAAACTGCTACGTCCAGGACTCAAACTGCGGTTGGCCATGTGTTAGTCCCAACGCTTTAACCACCACGTCACCTGTTGGCCCTCCTGCCACCTCTTTTTTTTAAGAGAGTTTTTTGCTATAGAATGTGTGTGCTTGCCAGGGAGACAGAAAGTGAGAAATCACCCGTCGGGGGATGGTCAGGCTACAGTCCTTTCTCCATTCACTTCTCGTGATCTTCGGCATACATGCACATGGGCCTGGCATGAGTTTTAAGCCGCTGGGTCCAGGACTCGAACAACAGTCGACTACATGGGAATCCAGTGATGTAACCATTACGCCATCTGCTGATCCCCCTCCTGTCATCTCTTAAGACCATGAAATCTGTAGTTTTCTTCCATGTTATTACTTGGCATACACATACATACTTTACAAAGAAGGCTTTATTTTGCAATAAAAAAAAATTGTTTCATTGTTTATAAAACCTGCTGAAGGGCATGTACACTCACCAGAGAGAAAGAGAGGGAAAATGAAAAGGCACTACCTGGGCGATGGCCATGCCGCAACCCTTCTCCCTCCTCCCTCACTCTCATCTTGGGAATATGGACATGCACACATGTCTGAAGTGTTTTTCAAGCTACTAGGTACAGGACTCAAACCATGGTTGGCCGTGTGGGAGTCCCACACCTTAGCCACCATGCCAGCAACTGCACCTCACCATCTTTTTAAAGATAGGGTCTCAATGTGCCATGACCCTCTTTCCTCAGCTTCCAGAGTAGCTTGGATCACAGGAGCACACCATCACACCTGGTTTTTCCAGACAGGGGTTTCTATGCTGCCAGGTCAGCCTCGAGTCCTCTTACCTTGGCCTGCCCATCACTGGTGCTACAGGCATGGCTGCTCCGGCTGGGCCAAGACAACTTTACTTTGGATCAGTCTGTGGACCCCACTATTTCCACTGCTACACTAGTATTTTTTGGTTTGCTTGTTATAAAAGAAATGGTTATTTTTATCAGATGGGATTGATATGGGAAATAGGGTAGAGGAATGCTGAAATGCAAAAACATAAAAAGAAAGCCCTGATTCTTTTCTTTCTTCTCCTATCCTAGTGCTTTCATTACTGAAACAAAACAATTCTAGAAAGGAAGGGAGACTGGGACAAAAAACACACTGACTGCTCCGCTGGCTATCTTCCTAACAGCTCATTATCCTGTTTCTCTTGTGGCTACATTTGCCTTTGATTTTGGGTAACAGCTTTTTTAGAAGAATGAGGAGTCTTAGAATATGAGACACATTACAGATTTCATCTCTGGAAAACTGAGCAGTCACCTAATCTCTGGTTTCTTTTTCTTTTTGTTTTAAGTTTTTGCCGTAGGGCGTGTGTGCTCACCAGAGACAGAGAGAGGAAAAGTGAGAAATCACGCCCCCAAGGGGGATGAAACACTGTGATCCCTTCTCCATTCTTCTCCTGAGATTTTGGACACGTATGCACATTTGCCTGGCGTGATTTTCAGGCTGTCAGGTCTGGGACTCAAACTGTGGTTGGCCATGTGGAAATTCTGTACCCTAACCACTACACCAGCTGGTTGTTCCACTACTCTGATTTCTTTTTTTTTTTTTTTCTATTTTGGGAGAGGTTTTTGCTATAGGGCGCGTGCGCTCACCAGAAAGACAGAGAGAGACAGAAAGTGAGAAATCATCCCCCAGGAGGAATGGCCGCGCCGCAATCCCTTCTCCTCCATTCTCCTCACGTGCCCAGCGTGAGTTTAAGCCACCAGGTCCAGGACTTGAACCATGGTTGACTACAGGGGAGTCCAGCGACATAGCCAATAGGCTAACTGCTGGTCCCCGCTCTGATTTCTTGACACACAAATCATATGAAAAAATAATACAAGATTAGTTTCCTTAGGCCAATACAGGCCAGCTGTATTGCACACTTTGTTATAAGAAGGGTTACATTGCCCCTCCGTCCAACACTCTCACACTCTGCCTTCTCTGCTCAACCCCAATGAATTAAATTTCTGATCCAGGCAGAGCAAAGCCCATTCTGTATCTGTCATGGCAATTTTGTCCCCAAACTAAATGAGAGTGCTAATGGGACACTTATTTTATTAGCAACTAGGAACAAATTATTATACAGGCCCTTCTTTTCCTCCCAAACTTACCGTTTG